GGAGCTGGCCCTCGCCAATGGGTTTATTGCACGGATTTAAGGAAATGAGAACAATCTCGATATGCTTCTGCCACTGCCTCACCTGTTCGATCCCGTCGCATATGGCGTTGCAGACGTCGAGGGCCTTGACCCCGCGATCGTAGAGCTCAGAGATAAGACGATCGAGTGGAGGACGGGAGAGGATCGGCCGGTTATTGAAGAGAATGACACGGAATTCCTCTTGGCAAAGGAGGAATGAATGGAGTAGCTTACGGACCCAGGAAAGGGAGAGCAGCTCGTCTCCACCCGAAGAAGAAAGGCCGGTGAATAGATCAGCGACTTGGCACTGGTAGAGATCGAGCTCCTGCTCCTGGCTTGAGTCGAGCTCGTGCTGGCCATCGATGGCATGAACTTGATATCGCCGGAGGCTTAGGAGGGAGCGGCCGATCACGGCGAATGGAACGGAAGATCCCTGAATGGTTTCTCGATTGTCCATCGCGGGCATTATGGTTTCTCGAAGAGCGTTGAAACCCAAGAATTTGGATTCTTTCTATGCCCAATCCTTTTCCCACAAATTGACCAAATTTTGCGAGAACTGATGATTTACAAGGCCAAGAGTATTTGGGGACGAAGGGATCTCGAAATCGTAGGAGCAACAGAGCCTTTATGCGGCCAGAAAATGGGGAAAGGCCTTATTCCAGTCATGAACTGATCGTTTACGGGGAAGAGAGAGATGCCAATGCTCTTTCGAATGAAAAATAAAAAATTAGGATTAATTAATACTTATTTTTAGTTTTTCGACATTATAAACATTACACATAGACTCTTATCATTTATATATTCAACCACCAAATTTCATAATATACATCCACATCCCTTAGAACTCAAAAACAATAACAAAAATACACTAGAGTTTCAATCCTTCACCATGTCGACGATTCAATCACCTCTCGGTCCCTCAGTGACTAGTCCCCCATCATATTCTCATTTTTTATCTCAGCATCAAGATTTTCACCATCCATGAAGTTGAGTTTGATGACACTGAGCATTTAGTTTTCACCAGTAATCTTTACAAGTACCAGTCCGAGCGGAGGGAAGATGCTTAGTCGATGAATGCATATTATTGGTTGAGTTCAACTACTCATAGAGTTTTTGTCTTTCATCTTGAGCACTATCAGTCTCCCTCCTCCTGGTCCAAGATGCTTCTTGATTAGTGAAATGATTTCATGAATTTTTTTCTATTTTGCATATATTTTTAAATGAAATTCCACTTTAAATAAAGACATTTGTATGTTTTTTTTTTGCAGGTATAACAGACATTAGAAGTGGAACAAAATGGAAGAAACATGGAGCAAAAAGGAGAAAATTTCACGAAAAAGCCGTTTGTGAAGGCTGAGACCATGACACCAAGTATTTGGCACCTATGCGCTAGCTAAGCCTAGAAACCTTGAGAATGGTGCCAGGGCGCCAACCATTGGGCCAAAACCATGACACCAGATCAGTGTAGTGTGTAAGCACCGGTCAAGTAAAGTTCAACCCGAGAGGAAGGTGCTTAGGCGTCAAACATTGGGCACCATGGCCCTAGTCCTGAAGGCCAAGGTCATGGCGCCAAAATAGAGTGGTGCCTTAGTGCCATGACGAAATTCTGGACATTTTTTAGATGATTTAAAGTTGTTTCAGAGTGAGTTAATGGCAATTTTAAGACCACTACAGAGGATTTTAAGAGGAGAAGAAGAGTTTGTGAAGAACAAGTTTAAAGTGTTTTGTTGGTGGTGATTTATGGGGTGTGTTTTAAGTTTAGAGAGTCTTGTGGAGGGATTTTCCTCCATTGTTTGTTAAGTATCCTAGGCTTGTTCTAAGCACGTCTAAGGATGTGAGTTGTGTTGTGTTGTAAGTGCTGTTGTCTAAGGAGTTCTAGAAGAAGAGCAAGGGCTTGGATGGAGCAATTTCAAGGCAAATTGAGGGAGAGAAATAAGTATATTTATGATTTGGATTTGTAATTTTTTCTGAAACACATTTTTATGTTGAATCTCTTTATCTCAATACCTTCTGATGTTGTTTTATACATGCTTTTTGAGTAAATTTGTTTGCTTTTCCTTGTGGCGATGTAGTGGATGTGTAGGAATGTGGATAGCATGCATGAAATAGTTCTTAATTTATATTCGTGATGATATCCTTCTGCATTTAGTTTACTTTTCAATCCGGCCAATTGATCTCTTAAAATGCATTTTAAATCAATAAGGACTTGAAAGAGATGCGACATAAATAACTAGAAAAATCATGTTGTACTATAGGGTATGAATTGAAGTACATTGTAGGGAGATGCAAATAAATAAAGAGATTATATCATTGGGTTCAAAGTGGGACTTGAGGAATTAAGACCACTTTAACCAATCTTCATTATACACTCAGAAGAGGGTAAATAAGTTATATGCTTCTATTTGTCACAAAATTTATCTTATTTCACTTTTCTTCCACATCCAAATTATACTATAATCACTGCAAGGAAAATTAACTTTAGCACTTGGTAAAACCAATTCACATATTGTAGTTAGTAATTTTATAGGAATAACTTTATATAATTGCAGTAGGTTTGTTAGTAAAACATAAATATTTCAATACTCCAAACCAAGAACAAATTAAGTAGACTTGAATATTATCTTACTTTAGCTTCTCATTTTTCCTTGTGATTCAACATTCCAGACTCTTTAGAGCCCTATATTATTTAAATGATATGTATACTTGCGTGAGAAACCTTATTGTGTAGGAAAATCTAATTTTTAGAATTCAATCAAGCTATTAGGGAGCAAACCAAGTTTTTTTAGTGTCATTACTGGGATTTACATTATTGTGATAACAACTGAGCCGGATCAAGTTTCAGGCGCTGTTGCCGGGGAAACAAATGGTTAAAAGGTTGGGAGAATTAATAATTGAAAAATTAGGACTTACATTTATAAATTTTTAATTTTTATCTTTCTTTTTGTTTGTGTAATGACCTATTAGTTACCCTTTAAAAGCGAATGCATAGGGCAAATCCAACTTAACTTGAACCTCTTTTTGAATCTGAACTGGAAAGAGTTATTAGGAAGATTTAAAAACAGAAAAAGTAAGGAAATTGAAGAAGAGCTATCTTCTAATCAGTACATTAATGTGGTAAGAAGCAATTAATGAAAATCAAAACATATAAAGATCTTTAAGGGATTATGCAAATCATGTAGTAGATGAAATACACTTAAATATCCAAACCCCTACTGTAGAAGCCAACACTTTTAATCTTAAGGTGACTATCATCCAAATGGTGCAGAACAACCAATTTGGGGGAAACACGTCTAAGGATCCAAATTTACATTTAGCAGGATTTTTAGAACTTTGTGTCACATTTCGTTACAATGGTGTTTCTAGTAACACGTTTAGGCTTAGACTTTTTCTCTTTTTCCTAGGGGATAAAACTAATGTATGGTTGAACTCATTAGCACTTGGTTCTATTAGAAAGTGGAATGACCTAGCCCAAAAATCCCTTAGATCAACAAAATCGTTTGATGAAGCTTATTCTCTAATGGAGAAGATGACTATATACAACTTTCAATGGCTTGCTGAGAGAGTAAATCCAAAGAAAGTAGCTAGTATACATGACATAGATGTGCTTGTAATTTTAACTTCATAGTTTGCAGCTATATCTAGGAAGTTAGATCAATTTGGGGCAAGTCAAACTCAATTACATCTAGTAATTGAGAAAAATTCATTCAGACAATTGATTGATCCTAACACTACATCTTATGAGACTATAAAATAATTAAACAATATACCCAACAATACTTATTCAAATTATTACAACTAAAGTTGGCAAACATTAACTGGAATAATAATTCTGGTGGTGGAAACCAGCAATGGGGTAATAATCAAGAAAATCCTATGGAGAACTGGAAAAATCAAAGAAATACTAATTTTAGAACAAATTATCCTTTCAAATTTAACTAGAATCCCCAATTTAAAGAGAAAAAGTTGTCGTTGGAGGAATTTGTTTTATAAATGAGGAATCAATTGCAAAGTGAAGGTACTGCTATAAGAAACGTTGAGAATCAGTTGGGACAAACTGCTAACTCACTTAACAATAAATCTCAAGAAGATGTTCCTAGCAATATTGAGATTAACCTTATAGAGAATAGTAGTTAGCAGGTCAAAGCTGCGAATTTAAGAAGTGGAAGTGAGTGGAAGGATGTTGTTCCAAAAGGATGTTAATGTTAAAAATATGATTGTGGAAAGTGAAAAAATCTTTGGAAAATATTTCCAAAGATTCAGAAAAATCAGACTCTCCAACTAAGAACAACCTAAAGAGACTTCTACCTCTTTTTCCTCCAAGAACGCAACAATAAAAACTAGATCAACATTTTTTGTGATTTTTAGAAGTTTTTAAGAAGTTAACAATCCATATATATTTTGCGGAGGCTCTAGAATAAATGCTCAGTTATGTAAAGTTCATGAAAGATAGCCTCAATAAAAAGAGGAAGTTTGGAGACTACAAGACTGTTGCACTTAGTGAAGGGTGCAATGCTATCTTTCAAAAGAAGCTTCCTCAAAAGTTTAAGGATCATGGGAGCTTTACAATCCCTTGTGTAATAGGAGAAATGTTTTATGACAAAGCTTCATGTGATCTCGGAGCAAGTATAAACCTTATGCCATCATCTACTTTCAGAAGGTTAGGCCTTGGAGAAGTGTCTCTTACTACTGTAACCCTTCAATTGGTTGATTGATCTGTCATAAATTTGAAAGGGGTTATAGAACATGTTCTTATCAAAGTGGATACATTTATCTTATTGGTAGATTTCATTGAGTTAGACATCGAGGAAGATAAAGAAATTCTCATCGTATTAGGTAGACCTTTCTATCCACTACAAGAGCAATAATAGATGTAAATAAATGAGAATTAACATTAGAGTTAACGATTAGGAAGTTACGTTCAATGCATTAAAATCCATGAAATACCCTTCTAAAGAAAACGATGATGAGTGTTGTATGGATTTAATTGATTACATGAGTAGTAGACATTTCCAAGAAAATTATAAAAATAAATTTGAAGAGCAAGATTTGTGTGAGAAAAAGATTTTGGACTTTCAAAACGTGTCTGATCTTATAGTTACTGATTATATACAATTTTTACAATATAATAGAAAATGTTAAACCTCTTGTTCCTTCAATTAAGGAACCCCTAGAGCTTGAAATGAAGGTACTTCCCAAGTACCTTAAATATTTTTACTTGGAAAATTTAGCCACATTACCTGAAATAATATACTTTGATTTGACTCATTTACAAGTGGAGAAATTAATGGAAACTCTGAGGAATTATAAAAAAGCTTTCGGATGGACCATAATTGATATTAATGGGATTAATCATTTTCTATGTATGCATAGGATGCGGATGGAAGATAACCATAATCCCAAGCAGATCCTCAAAGGAGATTAAACCCAATAATGAAAGCTGTTGTCAAGAAGAAAATTTTAAAATGGCTAGATGCATGCATTGTCTATCTGATCTCAGATAATTCTTGGGTAAGCCCTATCCATTGTGTCCTTAAGAAGGGAGGAGTAACAGTGTCTGTTAATGAGCAGAATGAATTAATTCCTACCAGACATGTTATTGGGTGTCACATATGTATTGATTATCGTAAATTAAATGTAGCCAATAAGAAGGATGATTTTCCTCTACCTTTTATAGATCAAATGTTGGATAGGTTAGCTGGCCATTCTTATTTCTACTTTTGCTTCTTAGATGGATATTCAGAGTCTTATCAAATACTAATAGCCCAAGAGGATCAAGATAAAACAACATTCACAAGTCCTTATGAGACTTTTTATTTTCGAAGAATGCTTTTTGGGTTACGCACCAGCAATATTTCAATGTTTTATGATGTCAATTTTCAACGACCTGATTAAAAAAGGAAGAGAAGTTTACATGGATGATTTCGCAGTGTTTTCCCTTACATTTGACTTGAGTCTGGATCATCTTTGAAAGGTTCTTAAACACTGAAGAGACTAATCTTTTTCTCAGTATTTGACCCTACATCTATGGTCCCTGAAGGAATTTTTTTAGGGCATAAAATATCTGAGAAAGTGATGGACTAAACCCAGCTAAAGTGCAAGAAATTAAAAAATTGCCACCAACAACTAATGTGAAAGGGAGTTTAAAGTTTTCTTGGACATGCTAGATTTTGCAGAAGGTATGTAAAAGATTTTTCTAAAATTGCTAAACCATTGTGTCGTCTCTTGGAAAAAGATGTCCTATTTATTTTGACCAAGAATGTTTCAAATCTTTTAACACTCTGAAAGAAAAATTAATCACAACTCCTATTCTTGTTTCACCTGATTGGTAGAAACCAATTGAACTAATGTGTGATGCAAGTGACTATGCTATCAGAGTAATTTTAGGATAGCGATATGATAAAGTCTTTAGGGTTATATACTATGCTAGTAAGCGACATGCCTAAAAATGTGATGCTTTTATTTATAAATTTTATGCTCATTTTTAATGATATTACACTTTAATAAAAAGGTATTTTGCTTATTTTTTATTACATGTACAAGAGATGGATTTTTAGATAAAAAAGGAGCAAAAATGGAGCAAAATGGGGTCAAGTGGAGCAAAGGAGCAGAAAGTGAGCTGGTGCCTAGGTGCTAGGCGCCAGACCTGTACATGAAAATAGAGAGTCAGGTGCCATGGTACCAGGATTAATTGCTTAGACACCAGGAAGTTAAATTAGGCTTCTAGAAGGTTGGTTCTTAGGCACCACTACTGCGCGCCTAGGTGCCAGAATCAATTCTAATTATTATGCATTGAATTTGGACAAATTTTGAAGGGGAATCGGAAGCAATCAGAAGCGACTCTTAGGGATTTTGAGAGTTATCATAAAAGGAGTCAAGAGAAGCAAAAGAAAAAGAGGAGTTTAGGAGGAAATTCTTTGCTTGGAG